ATTACCATACAAGAACCATTTTGCTTCTAGCCTTTGTCCTTTTATCCATGCTTACTAAGATTTGTTTACAGAATACTAGACATTTAACTGTAAATTACATGGCAAAAGCATGTCTGGACTGAGACTTAGGAAGGATTTTGCATTTGCCTGTTTGTCTTCCTTGAATTGCATTTACACTTGAGGCATTTGATGTGGCTAGAAGAAGATAATGCTGTAACGTAATGAGAGGTATGAGAGTTCTTCTTTTCCATTGAAGCGTAGGACAGATTGTTCCATGATTGCCTCACTAAGAAAGCATCAAACACTACCGGGTAGGGTTCTGTTAGAGGCCCAGAAGGGTGACTGCTGATACAAGAGCCACGCAGGTCAGTATAGGATGGCTCATCCATAGTCTTGGTGTTGACACTAACCAGTTTAAACACACTCTGATTGCTTCTCTACATGCTGCTATGATAGAGAGATAGCTGTGCCCCTTGAGGAAAACTTTACCCTCAGGATTTTTTAATGGTTCTCAGGCAAATCAGTGAAGTGTCTTTGCTAAAATCTTGATGTGAAAATGAGTATTGAATCCTATAGTGAAAACTGTTCTGAATAGCATTTGCTAGAGGTGGGTGATTATTTGCCGGCATTTTTTTTCCCAGTGTCCTAACCTACAAATGAACGCTAGGGGATGCCACACTTCTACCAAAGTTACGGGACTGGGGACAGGGCGGGGGAACCTGCCAGATCTGTGAAATTATTGCCATTCCTTTCCACACACACAAAAAAAAAAGTAAGGAAAACAGCTTTTGGTCATTTGATGTAATAAGGGTATTTTATTGGAACGTGTCTGAGTGAGAAGAAATACATAATATTTTAATTCTTTACTAAATGTCTGGGGGAAACATCCTTATTAGGTAAGTATAAAGAAGTTAATTTTTCAATATCTATCCTCTAGAAACATCTGAATAAAGATCAGGATACCATCTGAATAGGTTACATGCAAAAGTACGTGAAGAACAGTCCAGATACTGTATACAAAGCCACATAGCTGTTTAGTCCAGTTTAGAAACTTTGACACCCTTTGACAATAAATACAGAACAGCTTAGGGGTTTGAAATTTGTTACAGGACAAGCCTGGCTGTTCCACACTAGAACTTGTTTTTCCTTTAAATAATTTACATTGATTTCAAGTGCTTGTAGAAACTATACAAAATAGAAATATTTAAATGTTGGACAATTACATAAACTTTCATCATTTTACCACTAAGAACAAAATCGTGTAAACATGTATGTAGATGACTTTTTTAATTAAACAAAAAAACAAGTAACTAAGGAGGAATTACAACCTTACCTTTCAAAGAAATTGCCTCTTACACCATTTGCTTTACAAATCTTTGCAAATAGAAGCAATATTAAAGGGAATTTGTAATTATTATGCATTAGTTGCATTGGATCACTTTTTTTAATATATTTTACATTATTCAGACAGCTGCACTTTTTGCCCTGTACAGCCATGCAGCTCAGCCCTTAAAAAGAAGGCATAGTATTTGTTCAGAAAAACATCAGTATGGGGTTTTGGGTGCAATTTGAAATGCTGGTGGTACTCTATGCTGTCCATCCATCAATGTCTAAGTTTTCCTAAACAAATGCATACATAAATGCAAGTGTTTGCTGCAAATATATTGTGGGTTTTGTGGCTTATGGTTTTGTTTTGGCTTTAATGTAAACTCTCAAGAGAGAAAAAAAAGAACAGGCTAAGTGCTAAAAGGTTCATTTTGCTCACAGGAATGCAAGGAACTAATCTTTGTCAAAACACTGTAGATCAGTGAGAAGCACTTTGAAGTTAAAACACAGGAAGTCCAGGGAACTGGTCAATATTTGTATATAGTTTTCTTTTTGTAGTGGTGACTTTGGGAAAATGGGGACATACAGACAATTTGAACAGATCAAATTGCCCCTCACTGTTGAAAGGGGTAATCTCCCTCCTTCCCTCCACTGCTTGTGGCTGCAGAGTCTAACCCCACCATTGCATCTACTTTTCTGCTGATTAAGCAAACTGAACGGGCTCACTGCAGGGTTCTACAAATAATGGAAGAAGTGGGAATATGTGGCTGGGAATGGGATTGGTAATAATAGTACCCCTTTCAGTAGCAGTGAAGTCTTATATAAAACTTAACCATCATGTTTAAATTCTAAGGACTTATTTGGGAGCTGAACTTGAAACATATGTGCTGATAGTGTCCCTGGTCTGGTAAAATCACAGTTTAGAAAGTATATTCTTTGTCTTTCTACATCAGTCCTTATCTCTATGTCAGCTTTACAGGCTTTATTTAAGTAATGAAAATTATTTTGATCTGCAGCCTAAAGTTAGAACAGCTTTTCCTTTTTTAAGTATTTTTCTGCATTATATAAAAACAAAGAAAAATGTGCTGTAAAACAGAATTATAACAACCAGATTTTTTTTTTTTTTTTTTGCCTCTGAATCATGTTTTTCTGCTGTGTTGAAATGTTTGCACAGTGCTACTGTCCAGGCTTGGTTGTTTTCCTAATTCTCATCCCCTGAAAGAATAACGAAAGTAATGAGTGGTGTCCCTCAGGGATTGGTGTTCGGTCTGGTCTTGTTCAACATCTTTGTCACTGACATGGGCAGTGAGATTGAGTGCACCCTCAGCAAGTTTGCTGATGACACCAAGCTGTGTGGTTCGGTTGATACACTGGAGGGAAGGGATGCTATCCAGAGGGACCTCGACACACTTGTGAGGCGGGCTGATGCCAACCTCATGAAGTTTAACCATGCCAAGTGCAAGGTCCTACACCTGGGTTGGAGCAATCCCAGGCACAGCTACAGGTTGGGCAGAGAAAAGATTCAGAGCAACCCTGCGGAGAAGGACTTGGGGGTGTTGGTCGATGAGAAAATGAGAATGAGCTGGCAGTGTGTGCTCGCAGCCCACAAAGCCAATGGTATCCTGGGCTGCATCAAAAGGAGCATGACCAGCAGGTCCAGGGAGGTGATCCTGCCTCTCTACTCTGCTCTCGTGAGACCTCACTTGGAGCATTGTGTGCAGTTCTGGTGTCCTCAAGATAAAAAGGACATGGAACTGTTGGAACCAGTCCAGAGGAAGCCACAAGGATGATCAGGGGGCTGGAGCACCTCCCGTATGAAGACAGGCTGAGGAAGTTGGGGCTGTTCAGCCTGGAGAAGAGAAGGCTGCGTGGAGACCTCAGAGCAGCCTTCCAGTATCTGAAGGGGGCCTATAGGGATGCTGGGGAGCAACTCTTCATTAGGGACTGTAGTAATAGGACAAAGGGTAACGGGTTCAAACTTAAACAGGGGAAGTTTAGGTTGGATATAAGGAAGAAATTCTTTACTGTGAGGGTGGTGAGGCACTGGAATGGGTTGCCCAGGGAGGTTGTGAATGCTCCATCCCTGGTGGTGTTCAAGGCCAGGTTGGACAGAGCCTTGGGTGGCATGATTTAGTGTGAGGTGTCCCTGCCCATGGCAGGGGCTTGGAACTTGATGATCTTAAAGTCCTTTCCAACCCTAACTATTCTATGATTCCATGATTCTATAATAAGCAGTTATCTGAATGCACAGAAGGAATTGAAAATGTGTAGGACTGGAATCTGAATGATTTTAAGAGAAATACAGCTGAGAGATCAAGAGAAAGACGGTAAACCAGGGGTTGCAGTACAAACTTTATCTTCTGCCTGGCAATAGATGTTTTGTATAGCTGCCTAAGAAATATTTGCAGGATTATTTTTCCTCTTCCTTGGTATTTCCTGAATTACTAATGACACTCTGAAGTGCAGAGTAACATCGCAACTGGTTTTCAATATGCATTGTAGTGCTTGGAATGGTTTATTCCAACATATCTTTAAAAAACAGGGTTAAGCAAGACAGATAAGGCAGAGTAATGCTTTGTAAATGGGTAAATTGACATTTGTACTGGAGGTTTTTTTGGGTCTGTAGTATCTTCAACACAAAAAAAATTATATTCCCTATACTTTTGTTGTGTTGCTCCTGATGTAGTTGAGATGTTGCACACAACTTCACTTTGAATCCCCTACCCTCTGACATTGGTCCACTCTAATGCCACATGGGAATATGGTGGCTTTAAAAAAAAGTAACAGTTCATTTAATAAAAAAGCTTGGAGACCAGTCATAGAGTTGACTTATTTGTGTATCTAATTAACACACACTTGGACTTTATTATGTTACTGACAAGTACAATAAATACAACAGGATTTGTTCTGCCCTTTCAGTATTATGTTTTTTGATGTGGGTATTGATTTCTCTGCAGTAAGCTTCCCTTGTGGAAACAACTTGACAGTGGCATTAGCTCAGGAGTGTCCTCTTGTCTGTCACCTGATAAGGAGGGCTTAGTAAACATAGTCTATAAGTCCCACAGTGCATGAAAAATAATAATATGTAAAGGTGCTAAAATGAATTCAACAGTTTATACAGATGTTAGTTAATTATGGGCAAGTCTTTCACCTGGTTTCAGCAGACGAGGCCACAGCTGGGAAACGTGTTGTTTCTTTTCAGAGACGCGATTATATTTCAAAGGCTTGCTTTCTTCCTGCCCTTACATAAGGTTGAAGAGGCAAGAAAGGATCTACAGTGTAATTTGTACTTTAAGAAAACATAGTTAATAACACAAATCTGGTGAAAACATGGATGTAGTGCTTGGTCACATAGTTTCACAAGAATTTCTTTTACTGTTAGTGATTAAGTTATCTCAAGCTGCTCATTCCTGCTCTCTTAGTCATACCACTGCCATTGCTATTGCAGGAGTGTCATGAACTATTGTGAATTGTTGCCTTTCCTGGGTTAAAGTTAACCCAGTAAATACCTGATTCACTGATCCTCTTCTCTGTGTAACCATACAGAGAGTTGTGCTAGAAGTGGAACTGAGCTGGGTGCTGTGGCTGGAAGGAGTGGTGAGATGCTTAAGATGGTGTGTCTGATTTAAAAAAATGTGAACACCCCCCCTGCCCCCCCCCACCTCGTTAAAACTGTGAGTTAAGCCTTTGTGAATGTGATTGTACTGCACGTTTGTGGTGAAAAAAGAAAGAAGGACTTAATGCTGGTGAGAGGCAAACCACAAAAATCAGATGAATATAGCAATCGGAATAGCAGATAGGGAAGAGAAAGGTGTGACTATGCAGAGCCTTAAAGCTAAAGCAAAACTGTATATATAGTGTGTGAAGGGGCAGGAAAGAGATCAAAAGTGAAAGTGACATAACCTAAATCTGCAGTGGGTTGTGATAAGACATAAGCCTAGGAGAGGGAAAACCATTGTAATAGCAGCATGTTTGTAATTCCATCACTTCACATGTTTGATATGAGCTTCAGCAGGTGGAATCTTCTGTGAGATAATCAGCTTTTTTTGAAAAAGAACCCAAACCAGCCAAAAAGTCACTTATCACAGTACTGTTAACCAAGTGATTCCTGAAAGTGACAAAATCAGAAGAGAAACTGCAGTAGTAAGATTAGCTTTTAGTGCTTCCTAGACCTTGTCCTGAATAATTTTTCCCTTAACACTAGTGACTTTCTTCTTGGGAAGGACCGTCATGTCCAAGTAAGTGCTACAGGCAGGATGTCTCACACCTGGGCATTCGAATCCTTTGGTGAAACACAAACTTCTTTCAGTACTTTGGACCTTGTTCTTATGCAGGGTATAGACATTCCCATGGCCACAGACCTTGCACGTGCAGTGAGTTGGACCCATTGCCATGTTATCGCACAGCAGGCAGGATAAATCCACTTGCTTCACTGGTGCTGTTCAGCTGCACAGTGGGGTATGGTTTAGGTCCGACATGCAGTATATCCGCATACGCCTCACAGCTGCTTTTCGGGTAACTGAGAATGTATTGGGCTGCATATGAAATATGAAATAAATTATATCTGTTAGGTTTTTAATATAGAACATATAATTTAAATATATAGTAATGAAAGTCCTATTTTATACAGGATATCCAACAGCCCAGCTGTGTTAAACTGTGGAGAGACTGGTTCAAACTGGGGGTGATAGGCATGAAATACATGAGGCATATGTCCTAAGAGAACATAGGCTGTAGCACCTCTTAAAAAGCTACAGCTGCTAAAGCAAAGGGCTCAAGGTGGCCTTTTTTTTCCTCCCTCCCCAGGTATTTTTGGCAGATGATTGGACATGAATGGAGATTTCCTTTAGAAGGAAATGTACATGAGGTAGTTGCACAGAATACTAAAAATAGCTGTAGAGAAACTTTATAATGCACCAGATATCCAGTGTATATTACAAACAAAATCAGCTTTTTACCTGTAGACAGTGACCATTGTGATCCAGAACAAGTAATGTAAATGAGAAGTATTCAAAGATGTTGTTCATGCATGCATCTGGCCACAAAGCCTTTTGAACCTCTGGGCAAATCAGGTACTTACTTGGTATAAACACATTTTCCATTAGTTTCTGATAATTTGCAAAATGACCAGCCTTCTTAGATCACTGATTTTTGCATCCATTCTACATTTAAAAACTCTAGAACTGCCTTATAGACCTTTATTGCTGGATTCTGTATCAGATGGCAGCCTTATCTTCTGGTCTCTAAGTGATTACTGATACTTGGGCAGACATAGGATAAAGGGAAAAGGTGGAAAAATTCTTGAAGGGAAAGGTGCTGAATTACAGTGTTTCATGTTCTTATTCTAGAAATTAGGGTTGTCAGTCAATGACTTGGAAATCAAGGACCAAGTTACATGACCATAATGCAACTTCTTTCCCGTTTTTTTTTTTTTTGCTGTTGTTTTGTTTTTAAATTCAGTATTATCCTTTGAAAGGATTACATTTCCCCTTTCATTTCATGTATCACTTCAAAATGTTATTTTTAAACCTCCATCTTTTGTCTGTCACCTAGTGTTCCCTCTTTGTCAATGATGATTCACTCCCTATATAGGGGTACATATCAAACCCCCTGTTTCTGTCACACAAAATCTTCCTCATGGGTTTCTGATTAATTTTGAGGCTTTCAGTATATATTAAATAGTCTAGTCCCTCATAACACTGTGGTGCTTGATGTGTGTGCTTTATGGAGATTCTGCACAGCAGGCAGAGATCTTTGCAAAGAAGTCTAAATATAGTAGGTTGCACTTCTAGCAGTATTGTCTTTTAATTTCCTTCTGACTGAACTCGTGCTTTCCATCTTTCCTTTGGTTTCTCTGTTTAGCCTTTTTTTTTTTTCTTGCCTCGCAGCCCTGTTTTCCCTTAACATCTCCAAAGCATTGAAAAGGACAAATACAAGCTAATCTAATCTCTCCGCCCTCTCTTCTGCTTTAACAAAGCATTTAGCTTCCCTGTCTCTTGCCTTTGTTTTCTTTACCTTTCTTTCCCTTCCCCCTCCAAAAAAATTCACCACTCCTGTGTAAAAGAATTGGCCAAGCTGCAGTAGGACATGCAACCATTTTGACTTTAGCAGACAAAACCTTCTAAATTTTCCAGATGTACCTGTATGTCATTATACCAGACTTGTCCCTGCTGTTGCAAAATATGCGTATGGACAAGAAAACGAAGATAAGTCAAGTTTTCCTTACTGAATCCTGACAGAATGCTTTTGTCTATTCCAGCAGAGTAGCCTGGTGGCTGAATATAAATGCTGTATTCTGTTTGATATGCTTTCTGGCTTTTTGTTCTTGGTAATGACTGAAGGTTTGTAGTTTTTTCCTTTACATTTATGCCACCATTTCCTTGAAGAGGACAGAACCTTAGGCCTTTTCTGAGGCTGCTTCTGCTTCTATCTGCTGCATGCTGATTCTCTCTGATGGTCCAAGTGTGTCAGCTTGGCAGTGTTCCCAGTCACCATCAGCGTTACTGCATTCCCAGAGCCGGATCTGGGTTAGCACAAAGCATTGACAAATCCAGTGTAATTAGTTTTGCTCCCTTGCTGTACTTCATAGGGATTAGGATTTTTTATTATTATTTTTATTTTAGGTAGAATAATATTTGAGTAGAGAAGTCAAACAATGAGCACACGTGTGAATGTCTGACAGTCCTCACATTTACTGCATGGAGGAATCGAACTTTGGATGTTTGTGTGCTGGGGAGGTGATACCCCTGAGTGACATAGGCCTTTAGGTATGCAATTAAAGAGAAACCTGCCTTGAATGGTTTGAACAGTTAACACTGATGCAAGTATGCACTTGAATGTCATGCATTTCCAGTGTGTTCTTGCTGCTGCAGTGGGCTGTATGATTCCCTTTATAGCAGCACTCTCTCCAGTTTCTGCTACATTCCTAAAACAGAACAAACTGCCAGTGTAATCCACGAGCCTTCCTGCTCCCTGCCCTGAAAAACGTTGCCAAAGCTAAAAAGGGAAAATGCTTCCAGCAGGGACTCCAGAATTACTTATGAGATCAGAATTTATACTCTGGGCTGGTAATCCACTGTTGCAGCCTAAATCGCAAGAACACAAAAAATGTAAGCACAGTGATAGGGTGGTTTGGCAGTTTTCCTGGGACAGTGATATCTCAAGAAATAATCTAGATGCAGTGTGGGACAGTGCAGACTAGGATTATTAATTTTACCAAGAGCTGCATAGTTATGACTCATTCGTTCGTGTGGTAAAGTAGTATCATGAAAGGTGCTGGCTGGAACTAAGGGGGGGTATTAGTTTTATTTGTGGTGGTGGTTTCTGGGATCATTAGCACTTGGGCAGAGGTGGAATGAAGTGCATATTGTGTTTCCAACTGTCCTTCATTTATGGAAGGGGGGTTTCTAAGTTGGTTTTGCACAATCTTACTCTTGCATGCTGTATGGAAGAATGTTTATTTTGCTTTGGTTATTTTAGTGTATTATCTAATATTTGTTATTTCAGCATTAAACCTCCCCTTCTGCAACTCCATTTGGTTTTCTTCTTTTTCCCTTTTTGTTTTAATAATAAATGATCTTTTGATAACATGAACATGCTTCAGAATCACCTTTTCATCTATGGTTTCCACTGTAATTTATTGGTGGTTATGGAATGATAATGCTGAGCTACCTAATACCTAAAATTTTGAACAAAAATGTACAGGCCTTTCTAAAGATTTAACCTTTAAAATCTTCATCTAGAGTTAAGGCTTCCTGCAATAAATCCTCCCACTTTCACTGCATTAGGGAAGAGAGCTGAATCACAGTTTTGAATCAAATGCTCGGGAACTGGCCCAAGATCAAACTCGTTACTTACATGCCGCTTTCTCATTTTGTTTCAATTGCAGAATTTTACTATAAGATAAAAGGTAAAGCAAAAACATCCCAGAAGCTGTTTTGGTAGACCAGACGGATAACTTGCCACATAGACAAATGTACGTCTTTTTTAGGGCCTGTATTGTATCTTAAAAAGAACCAAGTCCTACAGGGTTAACAGACAGGAAACTGCAGCTGCAGCCGGCTAACACGGAAGTCAGATTTTTGTGTAACAGGCAGCCTGAGCAGGCCGAAAGGTGGGGGCCGGGAGGGGGGGCCGGGGGAGGACAGTGTCTGCTCTGATACTGGTGGCTTTGGTTATGCTCTGCAGCGTTTTTATAAACAGGGAGGGCACGCACTGAATGGCAGCACCCTCTGTGATAATGCAGTTTCAATTCTATCCTAGTTTTTGCGGAAATGAGACATTAAGTTTTTCTTGCTTATGGTTTATCATAGTACCTAAAGAACTCACAGTGCTGGTGTGTGGTTGCTATGCTAGGTGTCCCGGTGTCTGAATTCCAGAACAGGAGAATGCTCTGTATTTTCAGTCAGTAATTTCAGCCCCTCCTGTGCATGCTCACTTTCGGTACGTTGTGGTCTCTTTCGGTGGCCTTGCTTTCTCCGTGCAGAGCACCAGCAAAGTGAGTTTAACTTTTTGTTTAGAAAGAACAGCTTTTGTGACCTGGGTGAACTCTTCCTCCCTCAGGTTTAAAATATCCAAATACCTTCAGTAAATGGCACGTTGAGACACGTTTGCTCAGGCAGGCTGTTCGCGATCGCTTCCCTCTGCTTGAAAATCTGTGTAATTTGTCCGGGGAGGGCACATTTGGGGTTTCTTTTCAAGTTTCTTTTGCTGAAACGGGCCTAGTTTAGCCTGTCTTTACGCACAGGATGGCTCCTGCTTGCCAGAGCTGCACAAAGATAATCGCTCAGGAAGTGTTTCAGCCAATCCCCTGAAGCTTTACATTCAGATTTACCAAAGCAGCCAATCCGGGATTAGCTTTTATTAGGAAGACAGATCATCAAGCTTAAGTGCCAAGCCCTTTCTGCCTGAGTACTGAGAGCCTGTCCTCCATGTTTTATAAGTATTGACATAACACTGTGTTAACAATGCATCCACAGAGGTAAGCCTTACTTTTTACATTTTTTTTTCTCTAAGACCTATGAGTTGTGGGTTGAGAGTGTGATTCTCTGTGATTTGTTGTGCAAAACTCACACCACAGCACTTTATTAAGTTGGAACTGTTTAAATTTGCTTTCTTGGGTCACATGGTTAGTAGCCATTAGCCACAGCTTTATTTTGCAGACTGGCAAAACCTTGGCATACCTACTTCTTCACAGGAGGATGGTGTTTTTAGAGTTTATCAAGATCCTGGTATTCCAAAGAAGCTTTCTCTCTCTGAGCAGTTTGCCAGCACTATTGTCTGTTGTGTCACATGCCTGCTGAAGAGAAAATGGAAGCTAGGGAGCAGATGCATTTAACTGCCCTACAGGGAGTCAAGCAGGGATAATGGCAGACAGAAGAACAGGCAAGTTTACCTTTCTAAACAGTGAATGGAATAGCTAAGATAAGTTATCTCTGAAAAAATATGGGATTTTTAAAAACCTAGACATCAGCAAAAAATGCTAATGGCAGATTGTAGATATTGGGCCTAGGTGGTGGTGTGCTGTTGCATCATGTTTTTTATGCAGCTTATCTTAATTTAAAATGATTATTGAACCTTTTTTCTTGCAGGAGTAATTAATACAACGTGTTTCTCTTTCTGAAGGACAATGTATGGTTAATATTTTGTTCCTTTAAAAGGGAGTTTTTATGCTGCAGGTTTTGGAAATGGGTTGCTGCTCAATAAAATGCTGCAGTATATTTGTTTACAAATCTGATTCTTTATGAAAAATGTTTTTGAACTGTTAGCTTTCTTCTTTTACATAGTTCAAATAAACTAATGTACCTTTTATCTGTGCCTTTTTGTTTTACACTGTGTCAGCCACAGTTCTGTGTTGTAGAGTCCAGAGGATATAAAATCATGTGTGGTTCATGACAGTAGTACATGTTGTTCGTTCTTGTTTTTTTTTCCTTTTTTTTTTTTTTTTAACTTTTGGTTTAATGCTACGTAATTATTTCAAGAAAATCCTTTTTGATCAATTCCCAAATCTGCCAGCCTGTTGTATCTTCTTAACTGGAAAATTGAAGTGGGTGCTTGAACAGTTGGTAAGTAAGCAGCATGCTACTTTCTGACCATTTTTAATAGTTTTCCAAACATTTTGTTTTTCCTGGGTCAGTTAGACCACTAGATGAAGTAATGTTAGTCATGCAAAATACCAGATTTGCTTAGCGTCCATTTTAAGAGACTTGGACATGTAAACTGTTCCAGTTTGAATGCACTGTATCTTTGATAATTTGCCTGTAAATTTTGAAGCTTATACTTCCTGTTTATCTCAGGCCAGTGAAAAATGCTCTACTTGCTGTTTGTTCATAGATCATTAATTACCATGTTTGCAGGGCAAAGCGCATTTTCGTTGTTCCTTAGGCTTTTGAGGTGTGATGAAAGTGCTAGTACTCAGCAATGAAGTGACCTTATGAAGTAAAGTAGATAATGCTTAATGAGCATATGCTTCTGATACTATACAAAGTATAATCTCAGACAGATTTGCTTGATATATACCTAGTTTAGGACAGTTTGTGCCCTTTATTAAGATTTTATTTGTAGCACTTGCATGCTTGTTTTAACAAGCTGTTTTTCAGTGATCACCAGTATTGTTACAAAAGCAGAGGAGGGGATGCTCTTTCGTGTCTTTAATGCCATTTTTGCACTTGTTTTAGCAGTTCACACACATTCACAATTTTAGGAAAGAACTTGGAGCTAAGCTAGCTTTGCAAATAACTGCACAGAGATACAGTTACATGCTGACTCTTACAGAGGGTTGCCATGTATTTGATAACGTTCCATAAGGTAGCAATTTACCTCTAGTTACTTGTTTGCCAATATGAGTATCTTTGAATATCTCGCTTTGCTTAACAGCTCACATCCTTACCCCCCCCCCTTCCTCCCCCCCCCCCCCCCCCCATTAGATTATAAGAATGTCTAGTTCACTTTGCAACCTGAAGCACTTCTGGGTTTATGATTGAGTTTCATGTGATAGCATTTTTAAATGCAATTTTAATGCATTTTTTTCAGTATACAAAGAAGAGCTAACACAGCTAAGAAGTTATTCTGGTTTTTTGTTCTTCAGCTGCTAAAACAGAAATTACATTTGGCCATAATTTTCCTATCATCAGTTTATACACATTAGCAGTTTACTTTCAGTCTTAAATAGTGCACAACATAATATTTGTTTAATATGAGGAAGCAGGAGTAAGTGATCTGCAATCAGAAAGCCTGTATTAAAATGGCTCCCACAGGTTTTGTTAAACTAGGATCTGTTTCAAATCTGCACCTCCAGACACACTGCTGACAGTGAAGCATATTTGTATAAGCTGCCCTTGTGCATGTAATGAAACATAGCATCATGAGTCTGTTAAAGTTCACTATTTTTAATCACTCAAATATAATTCTTTTATAGTTCACAAAAAATAAATGTCTGCATTGCAGCAAGATGTCTGAGGCAAGGTAGAGACAGCAGTGTTGTTTTACAGATCAGCCCAATCGCACTGCTCCATGGAGTACTGGAGCCAATAGAAGCAGAGGGTAGGTTAAAGATTGACAATTGCAGTGGCAAGACTGAGAAAGGCCTTCTGGAAATTTCTACCATCTTTGTTCCATCTAAGTAAAGCAAATTCAGCCAAGCTGAAGAATTTCATATATTTTTGGTGCTTTGTCAAGGTATGATGTTATCACTCACTTTCATAGATTGCATAATAAGAAGCACTCTGTGCTGTTTTTTTTCTGCTGTTCAGGACAGATGGAATGTGGGGTTTTGTTTAAGTGATAGATGCGGGGAAAAAGCACGTATTCTTTCTACCCAAGATGTTACAGGACTGGATCTTGTTAATATCACAGTTAGTCAGGACATCTATGAAGCAATGTAGCTGAGGTTTATTCAGCTTGTAGCAAATGGCCATTATTCTAATGTAACTAGTAGTTAATCGTATAATTGCACTTTAAGTTTTCTGGCTGCTAAAGAGTAATTTGAATTGCCCAGGATGAATATGATTAGCCATTATTATTTAGTGCCAACATCCAGTTACTTTTGTAATTAGCTGGACAAAGAATGCAGTGGGGGGAAAACAAAGGAGTGCTCTGGATTATAAATTATGATGAAAACAGTAGCTTTTTAAAAGCTACATGCCTCTTTCATTCTTTGCAGGCAGACTGTTTTAGTTGGAAGCTAAATAGTGCTGGGGAAAAAACTGAGTGATTTCTTTAAACAAATAACACTACTTAACATACTGAGAATGAAAAAAATGCAGAGCATAAACCACTCCAAATGTGACATTTCCCTCCCTTGCATCAGGCAGGAGTATTGAAATGTTGCAGAAAACCTACATAGCTACTAAGGAAGCAGGTAATAAAAGAAACTTCGTCTCAAAAATCATGAATAAGGTAGATTGCATTGCAGACTTAGCCCTTTGTATCAGTGTCCTCAAACTTTGATTGGCTCGTTTTCCTGAGCTGTCCTCCATTTTGTGATATCACTTTTTCTTGGCTGTTGTTTTATCTTTTTCATTTGTCTTTTTTCCTTTTTGCTTTGTTTTCAAGTGTACTGGACATGTGGATTCAGTAGCTAAGAAGTTGGTCATGGTCAGTTTTCCATAGTAATGGTGCCACTCCAACATAATTGGTTAAAGGGTGATAAATCTCAGTAAAAGCTCTCCTCTCCTCTGTGTGGGATTCAGGGTATTAATTTGAATCTCCTAAATATCTTGGAATTTGAACGTTGAACGTAACCTTTGTCCACGTAGAATGGAACAGACAGCAATTTTCAAATTTTAGTTTTTGTAGATCCCTAATATTTTTCCCATAGGCATGTGAATCCCATTACAATGAATTTAAGACTGATCGACTAGGTTTGATTTACTTAGATATTGTCTGTAAACCCCTTAGTACACTCTCTTTGAGGGGTCTGCAAAGCAGAAACTGAAGACTGTTGTAGTAGGCCATCAGTTTGGCCCTTTAAATTGTATTTAGAAATGATTTTAAATATATTTATTAATACACATCTTGTATTCATGGGTTAAAGTTCCATTTAGAAACAGCTACATTGGAACAGAGTTTTACTTTTATTTATTTGGTGGAAGTTGTCTGTCATTTTTATGTT